TCATTTTTGAAAGATATATGATATTCTAGTCATATTCGCATAGTTTCATGGGATTTGAGTCATTTTTTCTATCTTTTTTTTGGGAAATCCTTACTGTTTGTCCGAACTTTCGTTAGGATTCGATGTTAGGTAAATTGTAGTCTATATTTTAAAGAGTTCCGGGATACTTTTAAAGTCTAAATTTTGATTGTGCTGCCTTTATTTACGGAGAAAGCGAAACACCTTTTGATTTGTTTGTTTAGCTTGTCATAATTAAAGCCTTTGCTCGTATCAATTCTTCAAATTAAATAGTTGTAAAATCATTCTACATGTTTTTTTCCTTGTTGATAAATCATTTACTTAGTTGTACCGTTTTGTGAAAGTATTTTCACGCTTACAATCTACTCTTGAATTACATAATCATTTTTTATATATAAAATTTGTTACAAAATCTTTTGATAACGGGCTTTCACTAAGTTACAGAATTTGTTGCAAGTACAGAGGAAAAGTAGTGTAGTTGCCAGCGAAAACGTTTTTTTTTTGCTGCTGGGTCTTTGGTAGATTGGTCGAAAAAGTCTTGAAAAAGTTACCATGGAATCCACATGGAAAGTTGATAAAATGTTGTGCTCGATATGGGAGGGTAGGTATATATATGTTTGATATTAGTCACTGAATAAAAAAACACTTATGCACAAGTAGTTTGATATGTTACGTACTGTCCACAGACTATATTTTGATTTAGGATAATTTGTTGTATAACCATAAAAATCTTTATATTTAATAACTTAACTAAAGATTCTCTACGTGGTAAGATCCTAGCCATTAAATTTAGAGTTTTTGGTAGGTTATTAGATATAATTTATTTTTTATGGTTATACAACCCAGTTTCCCTTTTGATTTTGATATGTATTATATATGCCTTTAGATTTTGATGGTAACTCTTTGATCACGGTGTAGGCAGAGTCGTGCCTAGAGATATGAAGATCCGAGGCGAAACTAATTACTAAATTTTTTTTGCCACAGTTCATATAAAATAAATAATAATCATCTCGTCCAAAAAGACTAGAAT